CTTCATCCAGATGACTGTAGGTTATAGTACTTTTAGATCCAGTGACATATCTGACACTATTCTTTGACCTTCTTTTAACTCTAACCCTAATTCAAACCTTAACCCTAGACCGAAACCTTAGCGTAAAAAGCTATATCCCTACCTAACAGCATAGATTTACAGAAAAAGTACTTAGAGAATAAGTGGAATACTATATCTACCTTTTTCAAGTCCAGGAAGTCAGGCATGATTTTATTTTGAATGACCTTTCATAGCATTCCCTGTACCTGATCGGTTTTTGAAGGTCAATTTTTGAAAGACCTTGACTCTGGTTATGATACTTTAAATTCCCCAAAATATGATATGGGATTATCTGCTGTTTATTATATGAGATGAAGGTGGTTTGAAGACAAACTGAAAATAGCTAGAAAGTCACTGAAAACGATCAAAGAGTACTTGACAAGTAGCTAGTTAGCTGCTTCGTCCTTGTTCAGGACTTTTCAACAGTACATACCTATGATCCCACTGCTACGTGGACTGAACCCAGGAACTTTCAAGTTACAAGGCAGGCGGCGAAGTTCAACAATAGCGTCCCAGGAGTGCGAACGTTCCAATGACCTTGAACGCATGCTAGTCGTTGGCTAACGGCATCTGTCATTATCATTGCTGAAATATCAACGCTATTCACCAACTTAGTAGCAAATTTCACCCAGACCACGTTTTTGAGCACTGTTTGAACAACGCGTTAATAGCCTGTTAGGGTTATGGTAAGTGTTGGGGTTAAGGTTACGATTATGGATAGAATTATAGTTGATGTCATTTATTTTAATTTGTTTTCTTATCCACATTTTCCTGGTAAGTAGTCGTCGATCCTCTCACTGCGAACTACAGTAATTCAATGGATGGCTTCTGGGGAAGCCTGCACAACAGGATAAAAGAGATAAACGATTCACAAAATAAGCTCATATTCAGTCACCTCGGTGAATACATGTACAGGAACTAACCTAACTTAGCAACCAATACCCCTCATTATGACTGTGACGTATTTTTAAGTCATGTCTGAGAAAGATACCCTGTTTAATGTGTTTTCATGCATTTTCTTGTAAATGCACGTCATTTTTTGTGTAAAAATTCCTCATTTTTATGATCGGTCGGCTGAAGTTCACGCTTGCTTTCACATCCCTTGGGACGCTATTGTTGAATTTTGCCCGAAGAACAACAGTCACTAGCGAATCTCTGTGCAAAATGTATTCACAGTATCAATACTAGTTGCTGACAGTCACTTAGAAATAATCACATAGCCTGATTTGACTCAATTCAAATCAGTAAGCACTTAACGCATAATCATTTGATATTCATTCTAGTTTTGTTCTTCAGAAAACCGCCTTTTTAAACGAATCAGTCAGTCAGTTAAATTTGTCTTAGAACGGAATCTAAATAATTATTAATTTGCATTGATAACAAGGCTTAGAAGTAGGCGAGAGGTATGTTATGCCCAGGTATCTTAACAAAAGTAACAATGAACAGCAATCAATCGATAAACAGTACTGCTTTGCGTGTTGAACAACGAAATACTGAATCTCAATATTATCCATGAATATTTACCTCTTTCAAATGAAATATTTGTGAAAGTTTTGAAATGTGGCAACCTGAACAACTTATGCAGATAATTACCTACTTCCGTAAAATTGACTGTTAGAATTCAGTCTGAACCAAACAAATTAGACTTGACACACATTACATTACACTAGTTACTGACTAGTGTCCAATCAAAAAATATCCGATACAGTCCTATAGGAGGTCAATTGCGAGCTATTCGGATAGCTCAGTGTTCACGTCTCTGACTGCAGATGGCACTTGGGGACGCAGGTTCAAATTTCAGAAGGGATATGAATTCCTTTTTGAGGTTGTAGATAAGCCTTGCTGACTGGAGAATGCCAACAAGCAGGAAACCTAGGTCAGGTGGGGAGTTCTGTCGATTACCTCTAACCATCTACTACTAACAAGTCTTATGTTATCCTGCTACCAATTTACTGTACTCTTGATGATATTATATAGTTGGAGGCAATCGGCCACAGGAAGCCTCGCCTGACATAGGTTTCGTGCTAGTTGCCACTCTCCAGTCAGTCAGCAAGGCGTATCTGCAACCTTGAAGGAACTCATGTTCCTTCTGAGATTCGAACCCGCGGCACTCAGTGAGTGCTGCAGTCAGAGACGTTACCACTGAGCTATTCGGACTCGCAATTGACCTCCTGCGGAACTGTAGTGGGTCCAAAGCTTCCTGTTGATTGCCTCCAACCATCTGATATCATCAATGTGCACCGTGATGGCAAGCTTCCTAGAATGGCGGTTACACTGCAAACCTGACTGATAGAATTCAGTCTGAACCAAAGAAAGGACTAGACACACATCACCCTAGTCACTAGTGTCCAATCAAAATTTCTCTACTGTTGTTTAGCTTTCTACTCAAAAACTCGAATGTGTATAAATTTTCCTACTGAACCTATTTCCATGATTAATTAGTCAAAAAAGAAATTATTGAATTCACAAGCTTATTCTTATAACCTAGGCTTTCATTAGAGGTCAATGTACAATTAAGGTGGATAGATATCTTTATTGAACCTTCGGACGAAATTAAACTTTAGACAATCAACAAGTGCAAACGCACCATGAATACTTTAAAATGTCAAATTAGAGTAAGACAGTGAAATCAGGTGAATTACAGTATATTTATGAAGAAAGGCGTTTATTGATGTGTAACGCTTTTAAACAGATCCGTTTTTTAGGTTAAGTCAGGTTAAAGAAAGATTACAGTTAAGTTTATGCTACTACGGGGTGCCACTGACAATTACACAATTCATCCAACAGTTGTACGACAATGCTGCGTGCCAAATAATCCACAATGGGAAACTTACGGAATCCTTCGAAGTGAGGACAGGAGTAAGACAAGCTAGCTGCCTACTATCGCCAATGATTTTCCTGGTTGCAGTAGACTGGATAATGCGACAAACAGTGGGCAATGAGGAAACATGCATAAAATGGACTCACACAAAAAATTGGAGGATCTGGTTTTCGCCGATGATATATATATCTGATTTCCCACAAACTGGAATATGTGCAAGTTGGAAGCAACAAGTTGGCAGAAGAAGCATCAAAGATAGGACTTCAGGTGAACATAGATAAAACAGAGTTAGGTGATGAAGATTCCTGGGCAATACCACCAACAGCAACAACAACAACAACAACAGACAACAATCAGCATAAATGGAAGGAACCTGAAAGAAACAAACTCCTTTAACTACCCACCTACCTGGGAAGCATCGTTTCAACTACAGGCCGGCGGAACTGACGAGGATATCAAAGCAAGAATCGGAAAAGCAAGACAAGCCTTCACTACTCTCAAGTCTGTGTGGAGGTCAACAGCACTCAGCGTGACAATGAAAATAAGATCCGAATTTTCAACTCCAATGTGAAGTCACTGCTACTTACCACACGGATCAGAGACTTGGCCAACGCGTCATAAAGAGCATCTCAAACAAACTACACACCTTCATTAACAGTTGTCTTCGCTCAATACTACTCAAGATCAGATGGCCAGAAAAGATCAGCAATAGGGATCTTTGGGAGCGAACCAACACAGCAGGAACCGATTGTGAAACAAATAAATAGGAAGAAATGGAGATGGATTGGCTGGCCATACTCTGAGGAAACCATCAAGTGACATCACTTGACAAGCCATTGCTCGAGTGGAACCCGGCTGAAAGGGAAGCGGCGAGTTTGTCGTGAGTGCGAGTGTGACTTGGAGGAGGTCATGTGAAGAGGAGATGAAGGCGTGTGGGCAGACTTGGAGCCAGGTGAAGACTCTAGCAGAGAACCGAACGCAATGGAGACGCATGGCTGAAGCCCTATGTTCCTCTAGGTATTAAGGGAAACAACAAAAATAATATTTAATTATGCTTTGAAGGAGATACGGTTAGGTTAACCTAGCTAGGGAGGTAGTGGGATGGTTGTGGGTACATTAAGGTTAAGGTTGAATTGTGAGACTAAATTTAAATTTCATTAGAATTGGTCTTTGGTGTATTGTGCCTCTTGGTTGTCTAAAGTTAAACTTTAACCAGATATTTAATTTACAAGCTCATTTTTACGGCCTACATTTCTTTAGAGGTTGATGTACAATCAAAGTGGATGGATGAATTTCTCTAAAATATTCCTTTATATTTCCAGTGCTAGGACATAGGGGGCTTCAAGCTAGAGCTTCGAAGTTTCGGTAGCAGTGATGTTTATTTTTATGAAGTGGTGTTGTTAGCCTCATGCCCAACTTTCCCTCTTTGCCTGTCTTATTACCGGCTTAGCGAGGTAAAGGAGTGCGTTGGTGGCCGGGATCGAAATTCAGACCAAATAAGGCGTGGTCGGCGAGCACCTTACCGCTGTGCCACCGACCACCAATGAATATCTTCACGTTATTGACACGAAATAAATATGAACTATTCTGAGCATTGCATTCAAGTCTCATGTAGTAAGATCTCTTAATACATCGTAAACTTGAGAATTACACTATAATATTATATTATTACATATCATTGCTCAAATAGTCTAGTAGATACCACTTTAGCATTTGAAACGGTGAGTAGGTCGTTGGTTCGGCTTTCAATGGGAAGACCACCACTGACTTGGAATGAGGATATATTCTACTGATGAGTTTCAAACAGGACGAAACGCTTATCTCCTGGATTCCACTGACAGTCATTGACCACTAAATTATTTCAAGGTAAACTATTGTAGCATAGTTTGACAGGAAAATAACAAATATCAACTTAGTAATCGTGACTAGTGATGACACCAACCGCCATAAAAAAAGATCAATAAAAAGATGAAGAAAGAAAGCTATGAGTGTTAAACCACTAACTATCATGGTTAAGTCTGACTAATGAGTGACCCAATTATGAAGCAATTATAGCATACATAACCAAGATAAATCAATTATAACATAAAAGAGTAATCATATGAACTAATAGACTTACCGCAAACCAATAGCATAAGTCTAGGTCCTAAATCACGAGCAGGATTTAATGCACATCCAGCATTCAATGCAAAACACCCGACCAAAGCATAAACTAACAATGCCAAATGCAGTGGATGTAAGTGTTCAGGAAGTTTCCAACCGTTCGGATCACAAATAGCCAATGCACCAGCTGCCAGCAGCGCTGTACCAAGTACTTGATCAAGGAAACAAGTTAAATGAGATGCTCCTGGATTTGTAACGAAGATACCGCCTGTTGTTTTAACAATCAATGTTCCATTTTCATACATATTAGCATAATCGTATATTTTCTCATGATAAACACCGTAGATAGCAAGTGCTCCAACAAAACCACCCAAAATTTGAAAAAGTGTATATATTGGTACACGTCTCAAGGGGAATTTTCCAATAACTGAAAATGCCAATGTAATTGCTGGATTTATATGTCCAGAACCTCCACGTCCAGAGAAAAATACCCCCATGTAGACAGCAAATCCCCAGCCAAGACTAACTGACAGGAAGCCACCATGAGCACTTTTTCCATGATCACCCAAAAATGTTTGAGCTATTACACCACAACCAAATATAACTAATATTGCTGTGCCACAAAATTCAGCTAAACATGCACGAATTAACGGACATGAGGTCAAACGTATTTTATCCGCCAATGTATGCTGTCTTCTTTCTAATCGTCCTTCAAAAGTATCGGTATTCCCCATGATTAGTGACAAGAATATGAAAACAAGAAATGTGTGTGCACCAAGCAGCCTTGCTCACACCCTGAAGCGTGTGTGTACTTATGACGACAATACAGTACTTCTGTTATCTCTAGGTGAATTTATATCCTTCCTGTAAACGTCTCAGTATACAAAAGAAAAAATTCGATAGGCTTTCACTTTTAGCCAATCAGAAGTTAATTCTGCTCCCATCTACTCTATGACCTCTAATTGTCCGTTTCAAGTTAACCAATCAGAATGAAGAAGTTAAGGTCATATGATTTAAACGTTGCATAGATGACTTGGACACACAGCAGGAAAAAAAAATTATACCATAGATCGTATTATTAATTCTGAGGTCACTGGGTTGACATTTGCTAAATTATTTAATAATTGATAATAATAATAATTGTTATTATAATAACAATAGCAATTTTTTTTTCAAAATATGCCCATTGTGATAATTATGCAACACTTTTCAAGGAAATACTTATTTTTAGTAAATTCCCACCAGACTTTATACTTATCGAATATTTTCAAAAGAATGGTTACTGAACAAATAATATTCTTTCCCATAACCTTATCTTCATCAGGTTCAAGAGTTACATATATATAATAGTATGCGAATTAGTTAATTAGTGTTATTATTAACAACATTAATGCTGTTTAAATAACATCGAATGGACCACCTAGTCCAAACTGATCACAAAGCCAACATTGAAGAATCCTACAGGGTACCAAAAAAAAATTTCCAAAAGCATCGAGGTACCGGATACTTTAAACAGCTGATGCTATCGTGATTCGCCTCAAACAACCAGTGCCCTTTGTACAAAAGAAGCAAATCCAGCCGCTGCTACTGCTCTGGCAGATCTTCAGTGAAGACTATAAATTCATGAATTTGTACTATTATTTTTCCTAATTTTTCTGACATTTAGTTTCTTGTTATGTTGATGCTATTGAACTGTAATCCATTGATATTATTATTATTGGTTCTATGTTATTTAAACAACATTAATGTTGTTAATAACATTAATTCATTTATTATAATGTATATGTAACTGTAGAACTTGATGATGAAGTTATCAAAAAGAATATTCTTTGTTCAGTAACCATTCTTTTGATAACAGTGTCAATGGATTACAGTTTGACATCATCAACATAACGCTACACTTCACTGAATATCAGAAAAATTAGGGAAGATAATAATAACAACAATTATACAAGTTCATGAATTTATAGTCTCCAATGAAGACCGGCCACGGCAGTAATAGTGGCTGCCTGAACTGTTTCTCCTGCACAAGAAGACCCGATTGTCTCAGGTGAAGCGCAACAGCCTCTGATGTTTAGAGTTTTCGGTGCCTGGATGCTCTCGACAATTTATTTGGTACCTGATAGTTGATGATGGAGAAGGACTCTTCAATATTGGCTTTGTGGCCGATTTGGATCAGGCGTTCTATTATGGAGCTATTATATATATAAAGGCTCTCGTGGTCTAGTGGATAACGCTTTGGCGTTTGAAACTATAGGCACTGGATTCGAGCCTCGGTGCGGGGAACATCATCACTCACTGCGGAATGCGCATTTATCCAGATGATGAGTCCCATATAGGACGAAATGCTCATCCTGGCTTGATTCCACTGCTAGTCACCATCTACCAATTAACTTCTAATTACATGCCCAGACATTATCGAAGCATCTGCAGCACTTCGGTCCAATCAATCGACAGGAAAATCTAAAATTTAATTAAATTAGTCAAGGACATTTAAAACAATGTGGGCCAACGGAATAAGAGTTCGGGGTTGTGAGTTAGTGTATACTAATCAAGGTAATAATAAGGGAAATTCATTCAAATGTTTAAATAATTCAGGTAGTCTTGAATGTGTATTTAGAATGCTTATACTGCAAATAAAAATTAGATAGGGTTTACAGTTAACCAGAGTCATTGGGAGAGATAACTATACTTGGCTGGGAAGTGAAGGCTGTGAGAGGAAGAGAGGAATTGGAAAACGTTTTCTGAACAAACAGGCTGGACTAAAACATTTTGAAGGTAACCACCTGGGTTAAATACTTAACAGTCGGAATCGTACAAGCTTAGGAAATTAAGGTGACACTATTGTATTGCATTGTAAAGGCTAAATTCTTATCAATTATGTTCTCTGTATCCACTTGGTATGCCAACATGGAACATCTGACTGACTTTACAACTCTTTTTACCTTATCACATTGAATAGTGCTCAGGAAAGTGACAGTTTCCGGATTGTTCTACTTATGTAACTGACTCCACAAGAAGATTTAAATTCATAAATGCACTTTGAAATATCCATACTTGGTGGCTTAGCTTTCGTCTACATTGGAGTTATAAGACAAGGGGTGAATCTTAATCATAGTTCTGTGGCAAAGAATGCTCTAGTTATTATATATATACGTTTATCCCACACTGTTTACAAGTATTTCCCGCTAACTATTCTCAGCATGGAGTCCTTAGAAAATTTTTCGGGGTACCCGTTCTCATGTAACAAGTATTCTATTTTCAAGTATTGGTTTTGTAGGGATTGTGTTTGACTGGCTGGAAGGTTTCATCATGAGCTGACCATTGAAAACCCAGCTGAGAGTACTGGAAAGGCGTGTCATCCTATTTTGGGAATCTTCAGCAGTACGCACCCACTGAGGTTCTAACCTTCTGGTTACAAGACGAGCTCCTAGACCTTCCAGCCAATCAAATAAGTCTCTCCCTACAAAACCAATACTTGAAAAATAATCTGATACTCACTAGCGACTGGCGCTATTCAGGCAGTTAACCTGGGGTTCTATTGAGAAGCCGTGACCAGTAATGTGCAGCAAGTTGCAGGTAAGGCAGTAATTCATTGAAGTAGACATGGCGAAGCGGTCACGCAATGTGATGAATTGGAAGAAGTTGGAATTCATGTGCTGGCCATTGGATCGGATTACAGTGGCAAACTGAATGATCTACGAGCTCGATAGCCTTGTAACCAGAAGGCCTTGGGTTCGAACTTCGTTAGTGGCTGCGTACTGATGAAGAGTGCCAAACTAGGACGAAACAGCTGTCCAGTGTTCTATTTTCCTTATTTCATTGTCCAGAGTGTCAGTTGTGTGGCTTTTTCTAGCACGAAACTTTAGGGTTCTTACTAATGAGATTTCATTTGTATTCAAGAAAAAGAAATGATCCTAAATGGGGGTACTGATCAACCCGTAACCTAGATTTTATTTTTTATTTTATTTTTTATTACAGCTTGATTCCACACGTATTTTTGGTACAGGTATGGATTTTTCAGCGTGTGATATCGGTAGCCCAAATTTTGCAGGCCGACCATAGATATCAGGTGTGCGTCGGCAGGGGATCGAACCCCGGACCATGTGCATGGTCGGCGAGAGTCCTAACCACTGTGCCACCGACGCAGTCTACGTGGATTTTTTTCGTATTATCATTGTGATCATCTTGAGTGTTATACACTAACTCACATCCCTGAACTTTGAATCCATTGATCCACATTGTTTTTAATGTCTATGAATAATGTCCTATTGTGTAACTACAATACCTGATGAGAATTTACCGGAAATACGTACAATCCCGTTTAAGTTATTTCCAAAAATACAAATTTATTACTATATTTGACCATGGATTGATATCAGCTAGAGAACCATTGAAAACCAACTAGAAGTACTGAACAGCTGTTTCATCCTAGATTTTAGGAGTCATCGGCAGCACTTAACACAACAGGAGTCCGAACCCAGAACTTTGCTGTAACAAGGCAAGCTCGTATATACCATCCAGCCACTGGGACCTGATTCAATGGCCACTGCATGAGTTCTAACTTCTATCACTGACTGACTGACTGGTTTCAATATAGAATTTTTCACCGATATCCAGCAGTTCGATTTGCCACACTCCCTCTTTGGGGCACACAAAGCAGGAGAAGTATGTAAAAGGAAATGCAAAATAGAGACAGTAAACAGAGGCAAAAAGAATAGTAATATCGAAGAAAAATAAAGTTTTATTAAGCATTATAAGTCACAAGAAGTGGATGAATCTGCACCAGCCATTGAGAACGATTTTGAGCCATGGCACTGATTGTATCCAGCCATTTGTATTTACCGTTCTGAGGACTCCAACCAGTCAGAACGTCAACACCTTCCTACGTGGCTTAAACTAACAGTGGTGGATATCCTTAACGTCTACCAATTGATGCTTTTTTTGCGAGACCACCACCCATCCATTCGGGAGTAGGCATGGAAATTCAAGCGGTGGCCATTGAATCAGGTCCCAGTGTCTGAATGGTATACGAGCTAGTCGGTCTTGTAACCGGAGGGTCCTGGGTTCGAACACCCTGTGGTGGGTGCATACTGCCGATGATTCCCAAAAAACTAGGATGAAACAGTTGGCTGTCCAGAACTTCCTGGTTTTCAATGGATCTCTAATTGATATCAATCCGTGGTCAAATCTGAAAGACAAAAATCAAAACCTTACAAATCAACCCTTGGAAATTATTACCATAAATATATTACTTTCCTGGTTGACTACGTAATCGTTGCATCTCAAATCACGTCCATTTCATTGAAGTGATGAATAATCCGAGATTCTTGGAAAATAATGTAATTTAATATTGGATTTTACAACCTGAAACTATTTGGTATCGTGTTAATAGAAATATAATGTGGATGGTATCGTCTCAAAATGTCTATCTATATTTGAGAGAGAGAGAGTCATGAATTTGTCACTTTTATTTATGTTCTAGTGAGATGAATTGTGGTTTTGAACCGGTTAAACTATCTGAGTTGAGTCAAACTGTTTACGTCACTGATGAGATCAGTCTCAAAAAAAATAGAGTGAAAAGTTGTCATTGATTTTTATAGATTATAGATTTATTAAGTGTTAGTTTGCAGGCATTTGATTGGTTCTAGGTGTGATCATGAGCTGATAATAATTAGAGGAATGTTGGACAAAGCCAACAGGTAGTACTGAACAACAGTTCTATGCACGTCAAAGTGAACTTGAGCACACTGGATTACCCATTGTTTCAGTCACAAACGATACTATTCAATAATACCAAAGGATACCGAAGGGCTGTCTAACATTTAGAATATGTTAGACCCGTTGATTTATCTTGACGTCAAGTCTTTGAGCTTAGAATTATATTAGAACGAAGAAC